GAAGTAGAGGTTGTCGAACACCGCCGGCGTCAGGAAGTCGAGGTCCCGCAGCGTGTCGGAGCTGCCGGGGGCGGAGCACGTCGCCGTCACGCACCGTGTGATGTCGTCGGTGGCCGGGCCCGCCACGGCGCCGAACGAGCTGCACCGCGCCTTCCCCACCGTGTGCGCGCCCGACAGCGCCACCAGGTCCGCCGGGTCCGACAGGTTCTTGCTGGCGAACGCCGACAGCAGCTGGTCCACGGTGCTCGTCGGCGGCGGCAGCGTGAACACGTCGTTGCTGGACGCCGGCGCCGCACTGTCGAGGCGGCCGAGGGGCACCGTGAAGGAAGGCCCGCCAGACAGGCTGACGGCGTCGCGGGTGGCCAGCACGGTGATGTCGGCGCACGACACCGTAGGCCCGCACGCCGCGTGCACCTTGGCGCGGATGTCCTCCACCAGCTGCACGGCCTCCTGCTGCAGCCCGACGTTGGGCGGGAGGTCGCGCTCACCGTTGTCCAGGAGGATGGACGCGTCGCACCCCTGCGGGAAGCAGTCGTGGAAGAAGAGCCGGAGGAGCCCCGCCGTGAGACGCACGTTCTGCTGGAGCGCCGCGTCCACGGTGGACCGCACGATCGTCTCCAGCTGCGGGCACGAGTCCACGTGGAAGTACACGGACAGGTCGTTACCGGCGGCAGCCGCGCGGCTAGTAGCCAGAGGCACGACGGGCCTCGAGGAGACGGCAGCAGCGGCGAGCAGCACGCCGACGGCGGCGGCCAGGACGAACACACGGCCACTCATTGTCGCCTGCCGCGTCGTGTTGCTACTAGTCTACCACTAGCTAGTACTAGGTGACAAACGACTTGGTAGAATAGCTAAGCGTTTTGCTGGAGTACTGAAGCCCGCAGCTGATGATATTTATAGCCAGTTCATCAGTTGCAGCCAAGGCCATGGAGCTGGCTTAGTCAGAGAAGCATGGGTAATAATCAAGCAAACTGTTAGCTGTACTATATTGTCATATTATTTACAGCAAACTAAAAGCTCACCTATATAATACTTACTCCATATCTTTGAGTAAATTAATTTATGTAGTTGTCTTATGTCAAACTTTGTTACGTTTAACTAAATTTATAGAAAAAAGATAAAAAGAATTATAGAAAAAACACAAATATATATATCACTAAAAGAACAGATTATAAAAAATATATTCAGTGGTGTGTCTATGATATTAATTTGGTGTCATAAGTTTTGATGGTTTTCTCTATAGGTTTAGTCAAGCTTAAAAGTTTCACTAAAGATAACTCTAAAAACTGGTTTATTTAGGGACGAAGGGAGTGCGTGCTACATCATTAATAATTGCCCCCACCTTATTATCTCATAGAATTTATCAAAACTCATGTATCAGCTGAATACAGATCTGATGTGATACTTTAGGCCTCTTTGGTATGGATTCTGGTGGATCTAGCTCGACCTGACATATTCGTTGTTCATTAGAGCTATTTTTCTCTCTCTTTCCTCTCCCTCTTACAGCTCCGGTAGGAGCAGGTGAAGCTAAAATTTTTGGCTTCACCTGCTTCAACTGGTTTTGTGAGGGAGAGGCAATAGAGACAAGAATGACTTCAATAAATAATGAATGTGTCACGTGGAGCTAGATCAACCAGAATCCATACCAAAGAGGCCCTTTCTGTAGGCTGCTTATACATCATCTCATCATACTTCATCTTAGTAAGCAAAGGTGAGATATGATAACAACTCCCCCTATCTTTCTACATGTTGTATTAATCTTCTTCTATCTTTAACCTTTGATTTTTAAATATATAGTTTAATAATATAAGATTTATTACCTTTAGAATTTATGAAAACTAACGTTTATATTATATAAATTCATGTATCTTCAGACTATATGGATTTTTTAAATTAATAGCTAAAATTATGAATGTTTAGTTTAAGATAAATTTAATATGACATAAAAAATGGTCTACGAGACAAGAGGTACAGAAGTACGGTTGGATATGATTAATACTCTCTTCGTCCACAAAAATAATGCAATTCTCGCTTTTAAAAAGTCAAAGAGTTTAAACTCTGATTAAATTTATATAAAAAGTATTAACATTCATATATAAAATAAGCACCTTTAGATTAGTTATAGCATATATTTTTAAAGTAATTTATTTGAAAATATAAATATAAATATTATTTATTATAAGCTTGGCTAAATTATGGAGTTTGACTTATGTGAACCCAGGGAGTATCCGGAGAAGTAGAAGTAGTAGGTTTTATTGACCTGATTTATCGGTTAGGATACTGTATTTTTCTCCCACGACCGACCAACGTCAGCCTGTTTATGTATAAAAAAAAAACATCAGCCGCGACCAGCTCGGTAGATCGTCGTTAATCGGGGGCACGACGATCGATGCTGCATCGCGTCAGTTTACGTGATTCACAATACTGCAGGGACGATCTAGAGACGCAGTGAGTCGTGCCTGCATGTGCAGGTGCAGGTGGAGTGGCAGTGCGCCGCAGCTAGATTATAGAGCCTTGAATAGTTCCTTCCCTTTACTTCATCTGCCATCGAATATTTGACATATGCATAGAGTATTACATATAGACTAAAAAATAATTAATTGCATAATTTATGATTAATTTACAAGATGAATCTTTTAAGACTAATTAGTTCATGATTTGACAATACGTTGCTACAGTAACACATGTGCTAATGACAGATTAATTATGCTTAATAATTTCATCTCGGGGATTACAGACGGATTTTGTAATTTATTTATTTTTATTAATATCTGAACACCTCATGTGGCACCATCCTGTAACACTCGATGTGACACCCTAAAACTTTACATCGCTGCTGTGTAGTTCCTCCATCATCTCTAACGGCTTCTTAATTCAAGACTCAATCTATATACCACGTTAAAGACTCGTGCAGCAGATAGGGTGTGGTTAGTGATATTTTTTGTAGCATAATTCAAACCAATATAACGTTTTTGTTTTACAATATCTTGGTGTTCTTTTGTCCTATTTAATATAAGGGTCTGTTTGGTTTCCCTTGACTAAAATTTAGCTACTAAAACTAGTGACTAAACTTTAGTCATCCTGTTTGGTTCTAGTGACTAAAAGTGATTAAAGACCATTAAAACAGTTCAATAAAGACTAAACTATCCCTAATGAATGTCCAAATTAGGGTGGGGATCAGTAATAATGAGAGGCAGCCCTTGTCCACTGGGCACTTTAGCCCACTTTTAGCTACTCTTGGGTGACTAATGTGACTAAACTACTTTAGTCCCTTTTAGTCATTTTGTTTGGTAGTTTAGTAGATAAACTTTAGTTGGGATAACCAAACAAGCCCTAATTGTATTTGCTTGATTACGCTATGCTGTCTATAGTCATCTACATGCATGTTCTAGTAGAGAGGTACATGATGGTACGAGAATATATTTTTATTTTGCATAACTCATCGACTTGTGTAAACCTACGTTACCTAATACAACCAAACTTAGCATTCTTTCTAATGTTGCAATGTGACTATTTTTAGCACTTGAGTAAGAGTCTATGTAGACAACCAAATATGGACAAACCACACTATAAAAGTCTAGATACATGCTAACGCAGACAACAAAATAGATCCACGGTGGGTATGTTGCCAATTCCATAATAGAACTGTCGTTGTTTTGGACAATGCTGAGATTGAACTTTTACAACCTCTGGTGGCAGTAGCTCCAATGAGCGTGCTCCCTACCTATATATGTTCGATCTCTAGGTTGGACTCTAGTAGTAGTATATCAACTTGGATCTGTTCCCTGATAATAAATTTACATGTCTTGAATTTACACATTGAGATGGCTTGGAGATCTAGTAAAGAAACAAGTGTGGACAGAGAAGATGTGGAGAAAAATTCAAGAACATGATGGACCAGTGCCATCGAAACAACACACTAGAGTACTGATACTGATACTAAATAACCGTAAGCGAAAATGTGCAAAAAAGTTGCGTGGGAAGGTCTGGTACTCAGGAAACTGTGCACAACAAGGTTTTATAAAATGGTCTACTACAGTCGACAAAGAGGCGCTAAAGAAATTCAATCACCGGTACGGTGTTCGGAAATAAAGATGTGATGTTCATCACGAGCAATACATCAAGGTATCTAGAGGAAATTAAAGGTGGTTCATGAATAAAAAAATGCCAGCACAAAGAGGTGCTAACCACGCCCAGAGCACTGGGATGTGCGCATAAATGCATGCCCACGAGCTAAGTATCGAGCGCGGGTGCTGTTTTTTTTTTACTTGTTGTAGGTAATGGACGGATGCAGGTGCAGGTGGTCTGGGACTACTCGCTGGTGTACACCTCCATTTCCTCTTTCCATGTATGGGTAATGTGCATGTTAGCATTATTAGAGAAGAAGCATGTATATGCTCAAAAATAGAAGGAAAAAAAAAACTAAAGTATCAATAGGCAAGCCAAACAAAGGGCCTCTTATCCAAGGTGGCCGAAGGTTGCCACATGATAGGACAACCAAACTAGCCCAATATATTAGCGACCCGTTAGCAAGTGGCCACGACCACAGGCCCAAGGTTTATTAGGACATCCTTTGAGTTTATGTATGCCTATGGAAAGAGGTAGATCAGCATTTTCGAAAATATTTAGTTCAACATGAATACAATTTTCGGAGATTTTCGGCTTGATTGAAGTTTCTATGTATTCCTATGGAAAGGGGAAACTAAACATAACATGCTCTTGGTCATTTTCTCAATCGCGCGCACATCTGCTATGCTAGGAGTAAAATAAATAGGCTACATTTTTATTTAAGAGGAAAATAGCAGAAGCACCCAAATTCGTCTCAACGTCAACAATGACTTGAGAACGACATAGATGCTGTAGTTGGGTAACCTGGACGGACCAACTAAGCTTGGTTTATAGCTTCCTAATTAACAAACAACGACAAACATTGCCGGACACTAGTTATACTTATTTGACGATCGACAGACCACATGCTGGCAGCAGCGGTACGGTCTCGATCAAGCAGAGGCCGCAAGGCCCTCGTCGTCGCCTGAGCCAGCAGCTGCAACGGTGGTCTGGAGGTTGACGCCGGCGTCGCGCTTCAAGCAGTTGCGGCGGGCTTTCACACCTCCGGGGCTCGTCAGCCTGCTCATCTTCTCCATCGCCTGCGCAAACTTTTCGAAGAAGTTGCCCTGGTCGTTGGCGAAGACGTTGACGATCCAGCCGGTGCGGCCGTCGTTGGCCAGCCCCTGGTCGGAGGTGAGCACTCCCTTCCTGCTGATGAGGTCAATAAAGTACCTGTTGTCGAACGAGTCCGGCGTGATCTCGTCCAGGTTGCGCTGCCGGTTCCCGTCGCCGCCGCAGAATTGGGCGAGCTCCTTGGCGAAGTTGTCGTTGGGGTTGGGGCGGATGGTGCGGTCGCTGAAGGAGCTGCACCGCGCCTTGCCGACGGTGTGGGCGCCGGAGAGCGCGACCACCTCGATGGGGTTGTCGAAGCCCTTGCCGTTGGCGGCGAAGGTGTTGAGGAGCGTGGTTACGTCGGCGTTGGGGGCCGGCAAGGTTTGCACTTGCCATGGTTGTGCAGGGCCCACGCTATCAAAGTGGCCGAGTTGCATGTTGATGAAAGGGCCACCGGCCTGCATTTTGCTTCTTCACTTGTTGGAACGTACTCCGCTATATATGCATGCAATGCAGATGAAGCAGTGTAATACTCCAACGTACGTACGTACCAGGTTGACGGCGTGGCTTGTGGCGACGGCGAGGATGTCGGCGCACGAGACGCTTCTTTCTCCGCACCTCTTGTGCACCGTGTCTCGGATGCTCTCGATGAGCTGCAGCGCCCTCTGGTTCAGGCCCTTGTTCTGCGGCTCCACGTTCTGCTCGCTGCCGGGGTCGGTCTTGTCCACCAGCAGCGACGCGTCGCACCCCTGCGGGAAGCAGTCGTGGAAGAAGATGCGCAGGAGGCCCGCGGTGACCTGCACGTCCTGCCCGCGCGCGGCCTGCACGGCGGAGCGCACAATGCCATGCAGGTCCGGGCACGACAGCGCGTGGAAGTCCGCGGACAAGCTCCCCGTCGTCGTGTCGTTCTCGTTCATCGTCGTCGTCGTCGTCTGCAAATCAGGCAGAGGCAACAACGGCCCTGCTGCGGCTGCGGCTGCTGCTGCCGTCCATGCTGTGGCTGCGCACAGCGGGACGATCAGCATGGCCAGGAGGACATGGACGTTGCCTGATGATCTTGCCATCGATCTACTAGCTAGCTAGCTATAGCAGGTCGTATTGTATTTGTATGCAGCAGCTAGCTGCTCTGCTGATATATATAGGCATGCCGGCGCTGCATGCCTATAGCTAGTGGCATGCATTATATACATACATATTCATATCCATGGAGATTGATGTTGCCTTGGCTACATATCACGTGGATGTGGATACCTATAGCTCGATTCAGATTCAGAGCCCCTACACTACACTGATCGACTCGAGGTCGAGGATGCATCAATAATAATCTCGCTCCACTTACATGGCCATCAATTTGATTACTCAGCTAGCTGCTTAAGTGGGGTAATAACAAGACCAGGTACAGTACTGACCGGGGTTAAAGTAATTTAAGCTCCCCACCCCACGCCGACGATCAGTGAGATATATACCTTCGTCTGTACTCTCCCCGTTCAGAAAAAAAATGTAATTCTCGTTTTTCGCTCAAATGCTTTTGAGTTCACTAAATTTATATGAAAAATACAAATATGTATGGTATAAAATAAGTATCATTAGATTTTTTTAGATAATGGATTTTCATTAATTCAGCCTTTATATCCACCAAGAATATACACAGCCAAAAGGATACAAGAGGAGAACATGCAACCAAAAAAAGAGGAAAAAAAAAACTATGACCTCAACACATCCCTGCTTTCCGATATTCTCTGCTAAAGCGGCCAGATTCGGTGAGTGGAAGTCGTCAATAAGTTGCCACCGCCCCTAGTGCGCCATCGCTGCGAACCTCCGCTGATGCCATCTTCATCAGCTTCAAGTGAGCTGACGCCATGTGTCTCCGGTTAGCCCACCTTCATATGTCATCGTCGTCCAATTGGAACTAGCCGATCAGATGCTAGCCGACAGGATCCACTTCCCGCTTCGCCGGGCCGCCGCTCTCGTATTAATTATCAAATCTGGTGCCTATGGAAAGTTTCAGTCTACATTCTCTCAAGAAACGTTTTTGGCAATGAATCAAAACCATTCCGTAAAATAGTTTGGCTAGTATAGACTGGATTCTAATTCAAAAAATATATTTTTTTGTAAAAAATCATATAAATAAAACTTCGCATGTGAAGCTGTTTGAAAAAAATAATCTTTTGACACAAACAATTTTAAACATGTTGAGAAGTTATGCAAAATAGAACCTAAATCAAATTAGGACTCTTATCTCTAATTTAAATGTCACTACTGGATTCAGGCGCTTTGCCGGGTGCCGAATGCACCCGGCAAAGGCTACTTTGCACTCGGCAAAGCCTTCGCCAGGTGCAGCACTCGGCAAAGAGCCTCCGGCAAAAAGTTAGTCGGCAAAGATTTCTTTGCCGGGTGCTTTTTATCGGGCACCCGGCACCCGGCAAAGAAAAGTGGTCGTTACGGCGCCGGCTCCGTCATCCCTTGCTTTGCCGGGTGCCATATCAGAGGCACCCGGCAAATATTTTTTAATTTTTTTTCAAATTTTCTTTGTTGGTGCCGTGCGTCGGGAGGCACCCGCAAAGATGTTATTATTTTTTTTATTTTCTTTGTCGGGTGTCTCACCGAGGGGACACCCGCAAAAAGAGTTTTTTTTTTTTTCAGTAATTTCTTTGCGGGTGCCAGTCATGGGGCACCCGCAAAAAGATTTTTTTGAAAAATTTTTTGTCGGTGCCTGGACTCTGCACTTCGGCAAAGCCGGGAATTCCTTTCGAAATTCCCGCTTTTGCCGAAAGTGCCGTGGCTGTGGCACCCGCAAAGCCTCAAAAATTAATTTTTTTTATTTTGTTTTTTGATTCTATAATCACAAACACAGCATATAAAAGATATATATCACATCTGAAGCATCACAAAGACAATATAGCACATATATATCACATCCATCTCATCACAAACTCAATCCCACACATATATATCACATCGCGAATACAATACCTCACATACACGACATCACAAACATAATAGGTCCAATTACCATCGTAACAAGTCGATAGTGGATCACAGTGCATCACATGTCCATCAAGCGGTGAAAAAGAGATACAAACTAAAGGTGGGGAGGAAACTGAGTGCCTGGTGAAGGAAACTCGGCACCACCTGCTTGCGCCTGAGATGGGTCATTCGAACCCGCCGACGGAGGCTACATAAAGGACAAGAGATTCAGGCGCTTAGAGTGGGTCATCTAATGAAAGCACTAGTCGAAGCAATATGGATTCATACTCACTGGACTAGCTACAACTGGCGGCGGCGCTGGAGCGAACATTGGCACAGGTACACCGTTCACTTGCCCAAAGTTCTGCAGGAACATCGTAATCTCCGCCAGCTGCTTGGCCTGTCTCTCCCGCTCGGCCCGCTCGGCTTGTCTTTCCCGCTCGGCCACCTCGGTCCTCGCCGCCAGGTCCCGCAGCTCCTGAGCCATCCTCTCGTTATTGGTCTGCAACATTTCAATCGAATGTTTTAGTAATGTAAAGGTAACTAAGTTATGTAAAGATCAATGTATGAAGAGTTAAACTGACTAACCCTGGAGTGCGTCGACCCGCTATCGCGTGAAGGGGACGGCCGTTGGCGTATGGCCGGGCCTCCGCCGGGTACTTGCTCGGATCCGGGAGAGGGAGGAACAGAGCCGGACTCGAGGTGCCATCGCCAAGCCGCATCACGCCCATGCTTCTTGCCCCGTCCGATCCTCATGATAGTTGTGCCATCAATGTCGTCCGGTGCTCGGATCCCGGCGCGCCTCGGACCGACCTTGCGTCCGACGCGTAGGGAGCTGATCTTGCGTGGACGCTCTGTTGTTGTATGACTCGGGTGGGTCATCCGTCTTTGAAGGTGTCGTGAAGTCGCCTTTCCCTTGCGGGGCGATCCATACGCCATGAACGTGGACAAAGGCTGGCCACCATGCGACGCCGATCGCGAGAAAGACAACAAGATGATTAGAAGAAACATGCGAGAATGGAGCGTCGTAATACTAAAAATGAATTCACGTACCCAAGCTTGCTTGTATGCGCCAAAGGTCAAGGTTGCCTTGGTGGTGTGTGGGGCCTGTCACTCAAAAAGCCCGCTCCCCCGGGGGCTCGTGTTCTGGATACAACCCTCTCGTGAACCACCTGTCCCACGATCATCTCTCCAAAGAATGGGCAAAGGACTCGCACCACCATGGAATCATCTACATGTCATAAAGAATTTGAGATGTAAGACGACCAAATGAAAGCTACTTAATCTCAAAATGAATCAAGATTATTCTTCTTCATTTACCTCAATGTATCGTTCCCGGGTCGTCGAGACATCTGTCTTGCCTGTGTCTTGGTCGACTTTTCTCGACCAAGTCGCGTGGCGTAGTACTTGATGATGCAAGTGAGGCGCCCTCGTAGTGCATGTCATTTGATCGCGCTTCTGGCACTTTTCACCAAGTTCTTCTCCGCCCTCTCCTCCTGTCCCTCTTCACACTGAAAAAAGTCTGCAGACAGACACAATGTATCAATTCATTATGTCAAAAAGTGTCAAATGAATGCGATGTATTGATCAAAGTTGTGCGAACGAGACTTACCCAGAACTCTCTCCTGACCCGCTCCTGCTTGTCTTCATATTCTGCGTCGGGGGCAGATTTGTAGTGGTCCCACGATTTGGCCGGCCCCACAGTCCCCTTGTGCGTGACAATGCCGGGGTAATAGTGCCTGCACACAAGCCCCAAGATGTGGTTGGGGTTGCGTGAGTCACCAGGCGACACAACCTCCCAGTGCCTGCACAAGTCATTAACAAACATTATTAGTTTCTCTGACAATTTTCAACAGGTTATATGAAGTAGCTGTGATTAAATCTAAAGTTAGTTACATGTCCCCCTGGGGGCGGATCACTGGGCGTAGGGGAGGAAGCGGAGGCCCAGGGAGTTTTGAGGGACCTCACAAGTAGGGGCTAGCCGCAGCAGAGGCAGTGGAACTACTTCCGGCCTCGCCGCCCTCCTGTGCCTCTCCCTCGCTGTCCGTCGCCCAAACCTCGTCCGTCGCCAGAACCTGCTCGTCCTCCGAGGAGTCCGTGGTACGGCGCTCCTCCGGCACGTCACGCGGCCTGACTAGAGGAGGCCGACCCCTCCTGCTGCCACTCCCGCTCCCGCTGCTCCTGGCCCTCTGCCTCCTCCCGTCCGATGCGTTCTCTTCGGCATCTACGTCCTGACGTGCCCTCTGGTACCTCGAGTTCACGTTCCTTGGCCCACTGCCGCCCGCCATCTTTGTTCAATCACCTGCAATTAAAAAGAAACAAACAAGACATCATTACATGTATTAGAAATAGATGCTAAGTAAATAAACAAAACACGATTACAAAATAACATAGTATTACATGTATTAGAAGTAATCATCATTATTGGGATTATCTAGATCATATGTCTCGTCATCACTATCAAAATTGTCCAAATAAACAAGACTGTCCGGAGGTTCAATGTTGCCTTCATCGTCATCATCTAAATGTAATCGCTCAAGCATTTCTATGTCCTTGGCATTTTGCACCTCATCTCCTTCTTCCTCGTCATCAACCCTTTCATTGTCTACTTCCATTCCAATCGCCTCGGTTAAGTCTATCACCAACCTCCTTGTAGCCCATCTTCTTGATAGAACTCTCCATCATATGTGTTTGGGTTGAAGTTGTAATCTTCATCGTTTTGGGACAGCTAGTCTACCATGTGGCGATACTGTGCACAATAGACCAACCTCAAGAGCCTTGTTGCCTTGGCATGCGTATGACAAATAATAAACTCACTTGCGGCCCGATCCGCCACAATAAAGACATCTTTTCCTTGATAGATGGAATCGTGTCGAATCTCGACTTGACCAATATTAGGGCTCCGTTTACGTTAGTCGAGGATTGAACCAAAGGCATTTGAACATGACGAGATGAAGAGGTTTCAACCATAAAATTCAAGTTCATAGATATCTTCAATTATGCCATGATACTCGAGGCCATCGGTCTGGGAGTACAAACTCATTGTTTGTGGTTTTTCGATGGGGCCGAGCTCGCTTTCAGTAGCTTCTTGTGTGAA